TGTGGATACACTCCAATTCTTGAGTGACTCCAGCTTGGTGGAGCCGGCGCGCAGCAGCGTGCTGTTCCCTGCAGCTCCATTTTGAGACACGTCCGGTGGTGCTGTTTTGTTAACAATATACTTTTATAATTAACAATAGTGGCACTAACATGTCAAATAACAAAAAAATATTTGCATTCAGAGAGATCCGTCAGTATCTAACAAAATGTGAACAACTTGGGATTAATATCCTAGTTATATACTGTAAAAAAAAAATTTTGCTTGCCTACCATAAGCTGGTGGGAAAGGCATAGACCGCGATGTAGGGAATTTGGCTTCTGTTCCAGATGTAATGGAGTCACTGGACTCCCGGAGTGGTGGTGTATCCTTCAACATTTCGTGAATGCTTCTCTCTGATTGCCTGAAAATAATAAGTCACTTACAATACCACTATACACATATTTTCTCACTGTCACCAAACATTTTCTAACCCAACACTCAGATCCAAACAGACCAGGATCACAAAACCTGGAATGTGTACTGTGTGGCCCGTTAATAATTCATACAACTTGATTTAATAGTTTTTCCTTGGTAAATATCATCATGACGTTATTCGAGTTTACTAATAGGGCTAAAATCGAATTAAGGTAATAAAATGAAACCTAGTAGGACCTATAAGAGCCGGCTCCTTTATTACATCATTCTTCAAGCCTGCTGTAGAAATAAACCGCCAAACTTAAAATTAAACCGGTTTATGAAAATAACATCCAATATTTCTTACCATTTGGACATTTTGCCGGAAGAACAGGTATTAGCACAAGAAATGCGTACACCGTGTAAACAATGGAAAGTTTGATTTCTATAAGAATTGTAACATTTTCTCCATTCAGTTTGAAATATATTTTGGAAATCACAAGAGTTAAGGAGTAATAATTGGCAACAGAGCAAGGCAATTCAATAAATTGTCACTCAACAAAATTATGAATCACACAAAAGTCAAGTTCAATTTGACATTAGTTGTTTTCGGTTTCGGATATCTTCTACGTATTGCGGAAACAGGCAACTATTTTTTATTTAATTTATTGACCTCTTCACGAGTCAGTTTTTAAAGAATCGTGGATTTAGATGCATAACTTATATAAAAATATTTTACAAGGTGAAGCGGACATTTCTTTTGAAAATATCTAGAACACTAATTATTTCTGACTAACTTTTTTTTTAAAACATAAGAGGGCAAACGAGCAAGCGGCCACCGGAATCGGCCAAAATGGCGAAGTGACCGTTGCCCATAGACATCTGCAATTGCAGATGCGTCGCCTACCCTTATCCGACGGAGGAGGAGACGCACATAAAGAGGATATTTCCTCTATGCATCTCCTCCATCGTCAAATCCACTTCCCCTTCCCATCCTGTCATAAGAAAAGGGTGGTAAAGAGATAGGGACTTAAATTAAGCCTCCGGCACCTCACTCATCAGACGAAACACGGCATTGGTTCCATTTCACGCCTGTCTTCTGTGTGGTCGTGGTATTACACCGCGCGTGCCGGCCGATTCGTGCTAAGATGTTAAAGCGGGTACTACCACTCAAGACTATAAGAACTCTCTACTCAAGACTAACTATAAGACTATAACTCATCTGCACGTTGATGAACTCGTAGATATTCCTGTAATATCGTTCCGGGTTCCAGGCACTGTGAGGTATAGTTTCAAGGCTTTTTTTATCTAGCCGTTGCATTATGCTTTGAAGGTTCGATATTCGGTATCGACAAGGTATAAAAAAGTTGTATAAGAATGGATATGATGTGGGTGAAAATTAAAACAAATTACGATAAAAACGAGTATAATATATTAACATCGAAATAAAGTATTACAAAACATTGTACAGATAATATTTTGCATTGTAAAAATATGAATATTAAAAATAGATTTGTCGTAAACAGTAGAGTGTATTCGTTTTATTTTATGACTCACGTAATGTTGTTATTTAACATTATTTGTTCTTATATGTGTAACTATACATAAATGAGATTCTTTGAATTATTTTAGTACGAAATGTTTTATACGTTTACAGACAACACTTACACTAGTCCTAACTCCTAAGTACTGATTTTCCTTATATTAAAGTTATATTAAAGACTAGTTTCACGATCGGTAGGTATTCGCGTAACTACAACGATTTGTTAATTATATAACTAGTTATACACATACATGTACTTAATCTTGAAAATATTAACACATTTAAGCTGATGTAGTCTTTGCTTAGAGACAGAGAAAAAGACTTGGTTCTCTTCCCCCTCCCTCGTTGTTCTCTTCTTATTACACTATCACTGAAAAATTGTTTGCAATCGACTTTCGAATATTATAATTTACTAATCAAAGTCTAATTTTCTGATTGTGTTCAAAAAAGTAAAGTTTGACTTCATTTTAAGAATTTGTTTTCACGCGTTGTTATTAAAATAGTAGTAACTTCTACTATTTAAACTGTGATAAAACATCGTTTAAGTTAATAAAGCTTTGATTATTTGGTCCACGTATGACAACTTATTTTATTTCAATCACGATACTGATTCATTTCTATGGCACTGTCAGAATTCTCTTACAAAATGTTGTACAAAGAAAGATAACAGTAGTTTTCTGTCAACTTTTTCTCAATATCGTTTGTATTGAAACGTTTGTGTGCTATCAGTGCAAGTAGACTTTGTCCGCGGGTCTGCGTGTATATCCGCAGAGCGCTGTGTCCCCGGGCGCTGCGTGTGTTGCGTGCGCTCCGTGCGCTGCGTGCGCCTCGCGGGCGTGCGTCAGTCGAGGCGCACCAGCGTGGGGCACTGAGTGGGGCACTCCGCGGGGCATTGCGCGGGGCACGGAGCGACACGCAGCGGTTTGAGCTCGCTGCCGCTGTCGCTGATCAC